CATGCCAGCAATAACAAAACACTCTCTCACGCACTGAAAATGTCAGAAACTGCTAGTAGCGGTGTTCAGCCATATATGTTCGAACCGGTGTCGTGCCGAATTCTGCACCCTGCCAGATTATTTCTGAATTACACAGACGGGGAGCACGGCACGATAAAAATAACAACATAACTGGTCTCATGGTGCCATTGCGTGCTAACACGAACTTTATAAGTCCCACATATGATTATGAGCTTGACAATTTCAAGTGGTCGACTTCACATTGCTTTCATATGCAATTTTTAACTAGCACATTCCTATTTATGATCATTCTTGAAGCAGCATCAGTGAAAACAGGCATAGCTTTAGCAACATTAGCCTTACAAAGTGCCAAGAAGCTCTTTCAGAAAGGCAATTTGGAAAACAAACGCATGATACTTACTTTGTCTGGAGCTGACGTTCGCGCACAAAGCATTGGTATTGTTTCCTAAACATATATAGTGTCTCCCTATAGTGACGAGTACAAGGGGAGAATCTGAAACCGCTCGTTTGGAGAGACTGGCAATGATTTTTTGGTATTATAAAAAAAATGAGTGGATGGATTTGTACCATTATAGGCTGGTTGTTTTCACACACTGCGGCCACACAACTGTGTTCAAACACCACAAAAGTGGTTTTTGCATAAAGGGTCCCCTTTAATATACTTTCTCAGTAAAAAAAAATGTAGTTAGTTACCACTCGTAGTACACTTGAACCCATCTTTCATACACCAGTGTGTTCAAGTGTACTACAGGTGGTATCTGAATGCATTTTTTAAATACAGAGATGGTATGTTAAAAGCACATTTTATTTCATATTCATGGTGTCCCAAAATAGAACAGTTGAGTACACTTAGATGATCTTAAGATGATCTTAAGTACTAAAGAATAATTTTTAGTACGGTATATTAAGTACAGAATTAGTGCGTGAAAATAGAGCGCTTTCAGTACATTGTGGAAGTGCACTTGTTTTCTCCTGGGTATCTATTCTGTAGAAATCTCCGCCGCACAGACCGGCAGCTCCAGCCACGTGATCTTACACAATAACACTCACAATAACACTCACGCTGAACTCAGACTGACATTTCAAACCCAGAGATCACCGCCTCACCTTCAGCCTCCACCTGCTCACTGATAAATTAGGGTCCCAAACAAAAGCTACATATTTGACGGATTAATTGGACACATACACTGCCATTCACACATTTGGGATCAGTAAGATTTTTTAATGTTTTTTTTTAAAGATGTTTCTTATGCTCATCAAGGCTGTATCTATTTGATCAACAATACAGAGAAAACTGAAATATTGTGAAATATTATTGCAATTTAAAATAATAGTTTTTTACTTTAATATGCTGTAAAATGTAATGTATTTCTGTGATGCGCAGCTGTATTTTCAGCATCATTACTCCAGTCTTCAGTGTCACATGATCTTCAGAAATCATTCTAATATGCTGATTTGCTGCTCAAGAAACATTTCTGATTATTATCAATGTTGACAACAGTTGTGCTGCACAATATTTTTGGGACCTGTGATACTTTTTTCAGGATTTTTTGATAAATAAAAAGTTAAAAAGAACAGTGTTTATTCAAAATAGAAATTTTGTGTTACAATATATGGTACTATTCAAAAATTTGGGGTCAGTAAATTTAGTCTTTCTTTAAAAAAACAAAAACAAATTAATACTTTTATTCAGCAAGGATGTGTTAAATGTATAAAAAGTGATAGTAAAGAATCATTTTGTTAGAAAAGATTTCTATTTTGAATAAATGCTGTTCTTTTTAACTTTTTATTCATCATAAGAATCAAAGAAAAAAGTATCACAGGTTCCAAAATATATTAAGCAGCACAACAGTTTCCAGCACTGATAATAATATTAGAATGATTTCTGAAGATCATGTGACACTGAAGACTGGAGGAATGATGCTGAAAATTGAGCGCTGCGTAACAGAAATAAATTATATTTTAAAGTACATTAAAATAGGAAACCAATATTAGAAATTCCAATAATATTTCACAATATTACAGTTTTTTTCTGTATTTTTGATCAAATAAATGATCAAATGAGCAGAAGAAACTTCTTTAAAAACAATAAAAATCTGACTGATCCCAAACTTTTGAACGGCAGTGTAAGTGCACATGTAAACAGGGTAAATACATTTAAACTAGCTAATTTTGTACCTAATGTGTTCTGGGTTCTCACTATACCAATACCAAGGATTTGATGCAATACATTTATATGATTTCTATTTATTATAGAGACCTGCATATAAAAAACAATTATCAGACGGACCCTTGAACGAATTTCAGAACTACTGAAAGACCACATCACAACATACTTACATGATTTACAGCTGAATCCACTTCTGTCCAGTCTGTCAGTACATTAGAGACACTGGACCACAAACAGAAATGCAATGAAAAAACACATCATAAAGCCGTATTATTTTCAGTATGGTCTGAATTATAAGATTAAATATAACAATAATGTATTAAGTAGTTATTTTGTGTTCTATAATTTTCTTTTCTCTTCTCACACATGATTGTGTTCTCGTCAGTGCTGATCGTCTGCGCTCTGCTCGTGTGCTGGATGCCCAATCAGATCCGCAGGCTGATGACGGCAGCGGTGCCCAAGTCGGCGTGGACCGTGAGTTACCTGCGCAGCTACGTGAAGCTTCATCCGGTGGCCGACAGCTTCTTCTATCTGAGCTCGGTACTGAACCCGCTGCTGTATAACCTGTCCTCGCGGCAGTTCCGCTCGGCGTTCCTGCAGACGCTCCTGTGCCGTCTGTCGCTGCAGCACGCCAACAAAAGAGCGCTGGAGAGCAGCCTGGCCTCCAAGAGCTCCAGAAACACATCACGGCCCCTACAGCGCCGATCTCTGGGCCGCATATGGGCCGTCACCGCCGACAGATCCATCGATTCATCGTCAGCAGAGAGACAAAGCCCTCCGAACCCCACTGACCGACCGCTGACCTCTGAACCACAGCAGGACGAGATCAGCCAACCTACTGCACTACCTGACCCTAACTGATGGATAAACTACTGGAGAACACTGCAGACCATTGAAGACCACTGTAGACCACTGTAGAACACTGTAGACCACTGTAGAACACTGTAGACCACTGTAGACCACTGTAGAACACTTCAGAACACTGTAGAACACTTCAGACCACTTCAGACCACTGTAGAACACTTCAGACCACTGTAGAACACTGTAGAACACTTCAGACCACTTCAGACCACTGTAGAACACTTCAGACCACTGTAGAACACTGTAGAACACTTCAGACCACTGTAGACCACTGTAGACCACTGTAGAACACTGCAGACTAATTAAATCCTACACATTAACTCGAGGGAATCTGTGCTAAGTCTGTTTGACATCACTGACATTCACAGTATTTTAATAAAGGACTATGGAGGAAAGATGCTGAGCCTAACTAACCCGTGTTAACCAGCTAAACCGGTAAGTGCGGTGAGGTGAGAGCGCCCTCTGCGGACGAACTGAAGAGTCTTACACAGAACTGAATCTGATCTCATTCGCTGAGATGTTTCTGAGCAACAGAGGAGCAATGCCATGAGATGGGCTCATCATTCATCCTATTTACTTCATCCTATCTGGACGAGTTAGTGTTTGAAAAAGCCAAACTAGGACTTATACCTAAAAAAGACAACGGTCAGCAGGCGTCTGTAATGGTACGAGAGTTGTTCTGTGAAACATGGCTTCAGTTCAAGCGTTGCATTCTTCCTGAAATATGGAGCTGTTTTGCTCAAGATGCCTTCAAGCTAGAGACCAAAGCTGATCACAACCGATGTCCATCCCGTATGTGGACTGATAGCTAAACGTTTTTTATTTTTATTCTTTTCACCTACATTTCGTTAGTAAAATTGAATTAAAACAACAAGCTGGTTTAACTGATTACCTTAAAAGTCCATAGATATCGGCATTAGTTCATACGTCTGTTAATACTTTCTCTGACAAGCGGATGTGATGAGACCTGTTCAGGTGACATGCGACATACTGTATATCCCCTTTTAGCAAATTATAGGAGACTACATTCAGATTTAAGTCAGGGACGTATTTGATGTTCTCCACCTCTCCTCCGTAGTTGCTGGGTTTCTGGAAGTGGATCTCCAGATGGTCCTGAAGATCTTCTTCATCCATCAGCGCCTGGATTCCCCCCAGCAGCACGGTGCGACCCGGGGCCCCCGAGTACGTCTACAACATCACAGCAAACACCATCAAACAAACGTGCTTCTGCGCCCAAAACAGATGTCTGGTAGAGAAACGCACCTGAAACTTCCTGAGCTGATACTCATACAGAGGAAGAACATCGAGCACCACGTCGCTGCCGGCGTCAACACAAAACTTTCCTCTGTGAACCAGATTCTCTGCAACTGAAAGTGAAAGCAGGAGAGCCGTCATGAAGCTGAAGCTATATCTGATAACGAAACATCCGTCCACAAACACAACAGATTAAACCAGAGCTGCACAGTACTATACTGCACTGTTGTATATTTGTCATTTATCTTTTTTTCTCTTATTTATTAATACTTAATTCTTGGTTGTTATTGCAGGGCTTCTGCAGGATTTTAAAGCTCAAATTTAAGACTTTAAGACCTGCACAAATAAAATGAACACCATATGAGCGGGGTACAGCAGTGTCTATAGTAACATATTAAACTGTAAAATGTCTGTAAGCATGATTTACAGTTCAGATACAAGTTTTCACAAAAACAAAATGTTTTATAAAATAATACACTTCACATTTCAGCCTTTAAACAAACGTATTAAAGTCAAAAGTATTAATTATTGTTTTAATTTAAACAATTATTATCAATAAATCATTATAATAATTAAATAACATATAAATACATTTTACTGTTTAGATTTTTATAATGCATGATCTTCTTGTCGCTCCACCAGCTCATATTTACAGCTCTGCGTGGTTGCATTGGTCTGAACAAAATCAGCAGATGGGCTTATTGAAAATGCAGATTCATTCTCTGCCTGCAGGTGGCGCTTTCGGAACGGCAGAAATATAACTGTTTTCCTGGTAACGACAGTACTGTACACAAAGCAGCGCAGCGCTCATGTTTATTCAATGAAATCATAGCCTTTTGAAGTTTAATCGTCACATTCAGCCATATCGCAATTCTGGTCTTTCTGTCCCCAAATGTAAGACCTCTTGAAATCATAATTGAGACTTTCTTGTACAATTTAAGACTTTTTATGGCCTTAAATTTGATACAACTATAAATGTAAGACTTTTTAGGGACCCGCAGAGTGTAAAGCAAAGTAAGAAGGTATGGGTGTATGGATCCTGAAGTATCTATATATATTCATACTGATGCAAGTATCGAAAGTATCAACTGGCTACTGAAATAAAAAATATCGATACCAAGGTGTGTTTTATTTACCAGTGATTTTTTTCAAACATGGCTGCCTTTCCCAAAAAGTGTCATAAGCACTGATGCTTTTGGGAACGGCAGCCCAGAATAATGCTCATGAGCGGACAGAAGTTATTTCACAATAAACAAATTGAAATTGTAGCCTACATAGTTTGTGCAATTATATTTATTTAAATTAAACATTAAAAGTTCATACTGATCATGATCTATTCTGTAATGTTAATATAAATCATACACTGTCAGAATAAAAAGGTTGCATTTTATGCATGCAACAGCCTTTCACTGCAGTTCCTTATGAAAATAAACCATGGTTTTACTAAAGTGACCATAGTTCAACTATAGTATTTGTAGATTCCATGGTTATCATAACAGTAAACAATATTTAACCATGTGTAAATAAAAATATAACCTAATAAGTTGCAATTAAGGCGTATTGAATGTTAAAATGCGTTTCAAATATAAAGTTGGGAAAGAAATTATAGAAATTATACTTTTATTTAGCAAGGATGCTTAAAATTGATCAAAAGTGATGATAAAGGCATTTATAATGTTACAAAAGATTTCTATTTCAGATAAATAGTGTTCATATCGATATCGGAATTATATCGTATCGACCGAAATTAAGAAATATACCGTGATATCAATTTTGGCCATATCGTCCAGCCCTAACACACACACATGAAATTACATTTGCACAATTAAACCACAACATTTACTGGATTAGTTGACATTAAAACATCTGACACGAATAGCATTTAGAAACATTTAATTAGAAAAAATATGAACAAAAGTGAGTGTTCTGCAGAACACATGTCAGTCCTGTCATTCACTCACCGGTTCTCCAAACCCAGGACGAGAGGACGTTGCTTTTAACCGAGTATGAAAGTAGTCCATATGATTTATGAGATATTCGAAGACTTTATTTTGTGTGAGGCCAAAAAAAATAGCATGAATATGAGAAGTCATTCAATTAACATGTTGTCCTGCTCCATGTGAATCTGATGCGAACTTGTGTTATGTCTTCATATATTCAAGCTAACTTTCAGCCTGTATCCTTGCCGCTTGTCTCCATACAAACTGATAAAGATCCAAAAGTTTCACTCATTTGTTCATTACACCATAAAATAAAAATAAACCCAAAATAAAAATAACATTTTTAAAGTTCATATTGATCATGTTCTATTCTGTAATGTTAATATAAATCATACACTGTCAGAATAAAAAGGTTGCATTTTATGCATGCAACAGCCTTTCACTGCAGTTCCTTATGAAAATAAACCATGGTTTTACTAAAGTGACCATAGTTCAACTATAGTATTTGTAGATTCCATGGTTATCATAACAGTAAACAATATTTAACCATGTGTAAATAAAAATATAACCTAATAAGTTGCAATTAAGGCGTATTGAATGTTAAAATGCGTTTCAAATATAAAGTTAAGTGGGTATTATTACCCATTTTACTCTTAGTAATTTAATAATTTAATAAATTATTAAACCACAACATTTACTGGATTAGTTGACATTAAAACATCTGACACGAATAGCATTTAGAAACATTTAATTAGAAAAAATATGAACAAAAGTGAGTGTTCTGCAGAACACATGTCAGTCCTGTCATTCACTCACCGGTTCTCCAAACCCAGGACGAGAGGACGTTGCTTTTAACCGAGTATGAAAGTAGTCCATATGATTTATGAGATATTCGAAGACTTTATTTTGTGTGAGGCCAAAAAAAATAGCATGAATATGAGAAGTCATTCAATTAACATGTTGTCCTGCTCCATGTGAATCTGATGCGAACTTGTGTTATATCTTCATATATTCAAGCTAACTTTCAGCCTGTAGCCTTGCCGCTTGTCTCCATACAAACTGATATCCAATCCAAAAGTTTCACTCATTTGTTCATTACACCATAAAATAAAAATAAACCCAAAATAAAAATAACATTTTTAATTTTAATTAAATCAAAGAAAAAGTTATAAATAGCAAACAATATATTAAATTAAATAAAATCTAAAATCCAAAAAAGGTAAATAAATAAATAAAATAGCTGATCTATACACATGTGAAAGCGCTATATAAATCGAAAACAAATTAATTGCTATCGCCCATCCCTATTAAGAATTTAATTGTACTGGGAAATGTGCATATTTACATTTAGTCATTTAGCAGATGCTTTTATCCAAAGCGACTTACAAACGAGGACAATAGAAGCAATCAAAATCAACAAAAGAGCAATCATACGCACGTGCTAATTTCTATGCATATGACAGTAAAAGCTTTGAACAATCGATCTGAAAAACCTAAAGTGAATTATAATAAACCTAAGACCATGATGAACCGAGACCTTTCAGGAAACACACATTAAGAGCACAGAGACTGCACACAGACACACCTCCGGTGCTGAGGAAAGTGACGCGGCCCGAGCCCGTATCCTTGTGGTACTCCAGCTTCTCCACTTCCCCTCCGCCGCGACTCGCTCTGGAGAACGACAGCTCCAGCCGGTCTCTCATTCGCTCCTCAGGTAAAGTGGGCGGGGCGTTACAGAACCTGACGCTCTTCTTTGACACCTGGATATGAACCTGAACGAGCAGAAGTACAGCGATTAACAGCAGCTCACGTCAACAGACAGCACATTACTCTGGACACAGTAAAGAAGCTTCTCGAATGGCTCCACCTCAAACTTCACGGAGGGATCCAGAGATAAAGCGTACGGCTTCACGTCCATCTTGGCTCTGTCACAGGCCACCGAGCACTTGGCCAGTCGGAGGATCTGCTCCGCCACTGAAAGACACATTACGAGAAACATCAATGCGATTAAACCTGACAAAAACAGACGTCTTCCTAAACAAGGAAGCGTAAAGACTCCTGCAGTGCATGACTCTGTTAGATCTGCATCCATACCCTTCTCCTCCTCAAAGGTGATGAGCGCCTGGCCTCCCTTCAGCAGAAACGAGGGTCTCTGTATGACGGTGAACACAGACTGCACCTGATCATCCGCCTCCTCGGCCTCCTCTCTCTCCAGCGCACGCATAAACTTCACCGTCTGCACCCGGATTCTGGCTTCTATCTGCATTTCAGAGAGCATGAGGGCTTATTAATCACATACAGACGTGCATACATAAATCAGCTTAGATTTCGGAAAAAGATCAACTCGGAGTCAAGCACACTTTGCTGTTCAAAGGTTTGGGATCAGTAAGATTTGTATTGTTTTTAAAGAAGTTTCTTCTGCTCATCAAGGCTGCATTTACTTATTCAGAAATAAAAACAGTAAATAAGAACAGAAACAAAAAACAGTAATATTGTGAAATATTATTCTAATGTAAAACAGCTGTTTTCTATGTGAATCTCTGTTAAACTGTAATTTATTTCTGTGATGCGCAGCTGTATTTTCAGCATCATTACTCCAGTCTTCAGTGTCACATGATCTTCAGAAATCATAATAATATGCTGATTTATTATCAATGCTGAAATCTGTTGTGCTGCTTAATATTTTTTTGGAAACAGTGATACTTTTTTAAAGATTTTTTTGATGAATAAAAGTTAAAAAGAACAGCATTTATACAAAATAGAAAACTTTTCTAACGATAAAAGTCTTTGATATCACTTTGTATCAATTTAAGACATCCTTGCTGAATAAAACGTTCTTTCATCATTTCGCTTCTCTAACGAGATCTGGTGCTTCCCGTCACCGTTTACCTGCACCGTTTATGCTTTATGTTTAGCTGCTTGGAAACAATCTGTATTGTATAAAACATTATATAAATAAACAGACTCGACTCAAGAGGAGGAAGAGAACTAGGCTACTTCTGTTGTAGTTTATGATAATATTATCATAAACCGGTCCAGCAACTTTGATCAATACCAGTAACTTTAGACTGTAATCAATTAATAAATTGTGTAAGTAAAGGTAAATGTACACATTGTAATAGTAAAATACAGGCCAACCTTGAATTTGCGCTGCAGAGAATCACTTTCGTCGCTCTTGAGCTGAAGCTTCTTCTGAAGATCATTCCGTTCTCTCTTCAGATCCTGGTTCGCTCGATCCAGACTCTTCTTCTCCTCCTGAAACAAACACAATCCTCAGCATCTGCTTTCTCTTCCAGTGCTTAGTCTGATCACGCCTCGAAACTCACCTGCACTTCTAGAAGATCTCGATTAAACTTGTCAGAAATGTTGTCTTCAGACTCCATGAAGCCCTGAAGCTCTGCCTCGGCTTTTCTCTTTTCAGTCTCTGCTTCGGCTTTTTCCAGCAGCAACCTGGATCTTTCAGTGTCTGCAGACTCCATGAGATCCTGTGAACATCATCATTAATAATTAAATGATCGTTACAGGTCGTGTATGATCAGGTGTCGCTGGAGATGTTGTGTTTTTAACCTTGTATTTCTGGATTTCCGCCGCAGCGTCGCACACGTCCGCTCGAAGCTGTTTGTTTCAAACACGAACACAAGGTTTTCACCAAAGAAAGAATTATGAAACATTAAACAGAATTCACCTGGGAATCTCGAAAGCGTGTGTATTTGATGTTGTAAACACGTACCTCGCCCATGACTGGAGTTTCATCGGCGTCAGACATGATTCACCCGAAGTCGAAAGAATCTGAAGTGAATGTAAACTCAGGTAAATCCGGAATAAAACCACTAAATACTTGCGGAATGACTAACTGATCGGAGAGAGGGTTTCTCCGCTTATTGCTGACCTCCCAGCTTCCTGATCCGAGCTGAAGTCGAGCTGAAGCAAAAGTGAAAGTAGGCTACCGGAGTCAGATTGCGGTGAAACCCCGGTAACCGAGCAGCTGACTCCACGGTGATCCGGATCATCTGCGAGTGAAGACATGTGTCGTCGGGGCGTTATGAGGCTTTTATAAGAGATAGGTTTTGTGTGAGTGTTTGTTCGGATTCGGAGCGCAAGAGTCTGATTCTCGAGGGTCTGCCGGAAGATTTCCAGCGAGTCAAGCCAAAGATCGAGCTTTACTTCCGAAACAAAAGAAGCTCTGGAGGAGAGATCGTGCAGATTCGAGAACACCCAGACGACAGACGAAAAGCGCGTCTGGTTTATATAAGAGACGAAGGTGAGCCTATATCAACATCCTATCTGATATAGAGCTAACTAATACTGACACCACAACATTTACATAAATAATCTGCTTAAAACCCGAGATGACCTGGCAAGTGTAAGTTTTACAGAGAATTCCCCTGTCTTCCAGATCTGAAGAAGGTGCTTGACAAAAGGATCCATAAAGTTGATATCAAACCTCATGGATCTGTTGAAGTGACGGTGAAACTCCCAGAAGACACAAGAACCAAGAAGATCAAACCACCAGTACTGCCCAAACCCAAACCCGAGACATGACTTCCCCTCAGATCACACGCTCCAGCCAGACAGGTCATTATCAATTACTATCAATATCAGACTACAAGTTTCCCCATGCTTGTTTCTTTTGAAAGAATTGCATAAACAGACACTAGGACAGTGTCTTGAGAACTAGTTTGACCTACTAGCAGTTAACCAAGTGCTAATCAGTTTCACTTTTCAGATTCAAGAGATTACTTTTTAAATGCAATCTACACGTCTATGTAGGCTAACTTACTTGAAAAAATTATGAGCAGTCTTGAAGAGGACTACTTTTAAAAGTACACTCTAAAAACTAAAGGAGCTTAAAATATTCTTCACAGTGATGCCATAGAAGAACCACTTTTGGTTCCACAAGGAACCATTCAGTCAAAGGTTCTTTAAAGAACCCAGTTAACCAAGTGCTAATCAGTTTCACTTTTCAGATTCAAGAGATTACTTTTTAAATGCAATCTACACGTCTATGTAGGCTAACTTACTTGAAAAAATTATGAGCAGTCTTGAAGAGGACTACTTTTAAAAGTACACTCTAAAAACTAAAGGAGCTTAAAATATTCTTCACAGTGATGCCATAGAAGAACCACTTTTGGTTCCACAAGGAACCATTCAGTCAAAGGTTCTTTAAAGAATCATCTCTTTCTTATCTTTTTATAATCTGAAGAACCTTCTTTCGCCACAAAGAAGCGTTTGTGAAACAGAAAGGTTCTTCAGATGTTAAAGCTTCTTTATTGAGCCATTCAGACGTTAAAAGTTCTTCTGTGGCATCCTGAAGCAGCTTTATTTTTAAGAGTGTAATCTACAGTTTATGCAGCCAGCACCTGATCTTGATTTAAATGTCAAAGGAAAAATAAGAATTAAAACGTAAATGTGTTTATTTTTTTTAACAAAATGCCTTCAGGTTATTGATTTACTCACACACTCCCTCCTTATCGTACAACGGTGTCTCCCGTCAGAAAGCCTACAACAGCAATTAAAGCTCACACAGGTTGGACTGTAATGCTTTTTATTTTCAGCGTTTAAAAACAACAACTACAGATTTCAAAACTTTTACGACGACGCTTTGATTGTGTGTATCACCTGGAGGCAGCTGCAGGGTCGAGACATCGGAGTGACCCGTGTGGAGCGGATGGACTCGGTTCTGGTCCAGGGAGACTTGGAGAAGCTCACTGAAGATGTTCTCACTCTTTACTTCAGCAACAAGAAGAGGAGCGGAGGATGATGAAATCAACTTTACTCCATCTTGGAGATCAGAAAGATCAAATTTAATAATATTGACCCTTTTCTCAGATTTAGAGGAGATTTTGGGCCAGAAAGAACATGGGTTTGGTATAACGTTAGCAGTGTATAAAGGAGGAGGTCTGGGAGAGCAGCTGGACCCACGTCGCTTCATCTTGACTGGCTTTGATGGAGCCACAGACTGCAGGATGATCTCAGTGTTCATCGGCAGCTGTAGCAAGACCACAGAGCACACCTGTGGAGCGGACGGACTCTGTTCTGGTCCAGGGAGACTTGGAGAAGCTCACTGAAGATGTTCTCACTCTTTACTTCAGCAACAAGAAGAGGAGCGGAGGAGGAGACGTCCAGTCCTTCATCTGGATCAACAGACGAAAGAGCGCGGCCATCACCTTCGGAAACTGTGACGGTAGGTTTTCAGATCGTTTGCAAAGATGAAACATTCATTTAGATTTAGATTCAGCTCAAACAGAAGAGGAGACAAGATTAGATCTAAAAATAAGTTACAGAGAACTAATAATACTGTGCAACAGTAATTTAACCTTCATACTGAGTTCAGGTCATTTTGACCCAGAGAGGATTTACTTTTTCATGAAAATAAATCTCATTATGCTAAATTATTACCAAAACTAGGATCCAATCTTTTTGTCAACTTGTTATCTTTCAGTGAGCACAGGTTTTCCATTTATTTTAGGAACCGACCAATCGTAGGCCTCATTGATCGGAGCACATGCACCATGCATGCCAAAATTATCCACAGATACTGCTTTTTTCACCAAACCAGCATTTACACAACACCGTTTAAATTAAAAACTGAAAACTTTTTATGCATTTTGGACATTCATTTACACGACAACAGTTTTTTGGGGGCCTGAAAATGCTAACTTTTTTAAATGGGTTTTAAAGTGCAAGTTTTTGAAAACAGAACCGTTAACGTCTGTGTAAACTACAAAATTTGTGAAAAGGGTGACCTGCGCATGCGTATCACGTGTTCGGTCTATAGGTACGTGTGTGTTCGCATGACATCAGCTACTGGCCTGGCATGAATAATACAGCATAAAAAGCCGTTTTGCAGATCAGTGTGAACGGGGATCGTTTTTGACAATGTTGTCATCTGTACGCAAAAAAAACTAAAGGAAAAACATATCAATTTTTAGAACATCGATGTCATGTAAACGTACCCTAAATTCAAGATTTGGTGATAATATTACATAAAACACCGTTTAAATTAAAAACTGAAAACTTTTTATGCATTTTGGACATTCATTTACACGACAACAGTTTTTTGGGGGCCTGAAAATGCTAACTTTTTTAAATGGGTTTTAAAGTGCAAGTTTTTGAAAACAGAACCGTTAACGTCTGTGTAAACTACAAAATTTGTGAAAAGGGTGACCTGCGCATGCGTATCACGTGTTCGGTCTATAGGTACGTGTGTGTTCGCATGACATCAGCTACTGGCCTGGCATGAATAATACAGCATAAAAAGCCGTTTTGCAGATCAGTGTGAACGGGGATCGTTTTTGACAATGTTGTCATCTGTACGCAAAAAAAACTAAAGGAAAAACATATCAATTTTTAGAACATCGATGTCATGTAAACGTACCCTAAATTCAAGATTTGGTGATAATATTACATAATGAGAGATTTAGAAGCTATTTATAAGGCCAGTCATTTTTGACTGGAAACACCAAATTAGGTGAAGGGTTTTCAAAACAGCACAAGGGCAAAAATATACAGAACAAAATTTATTTGAAAATGTAACCCGTCCTTTCTATTGTAATAGATGTGCATGCAGTGGTGGAACAAACACACAATGTTTGCGGCACAGAAGTTCACGCTTCACTGTTCTACTCCAGTTTACAAAAGGCTTTAACCCTGACTGATAAAATATCCACGAAAGTGAACGTTCGTGTCAGTGAAGAGCTGCTCCGTTTCTTTGAAACCAATGAGCGATGCAGAAAACAACTGGAGAACGAGGCCAAACTGCTTCACGCCAAAGTGCTTATTGACAGCTCCGCCGCAGCAAATGAACTGATTCTGGAGATGGATGTCAACAAAAAGTCGCTGGCTGCGCTGCAGATCGCTCCCACGTGGGAGTCCAAGACAATGAGGGAAGCGGAGTCGTTTCTGAGCAGATATGACACCGCAGAGCTGCCGGCGGAGAAGGACGTCTGGACGAGAGCTGAGAACGACTGTAACCGTCTCATCACGCTCGACACGGCGCTCTCCTACAGGGAGCTCAACTCTAAAGCTGTGATTGCTGGAGTGAAAGAGGAGGTGAAGGTCCTGTCAGACAAGATCAGGACGCTCCTGAAGAACACTGCTGCTGAGGTGGAAGCGGAAAGAAACACAGCCGAGGTAGACCTCCAACTAGACTGCAGAGAGACGTTTGATCTAATTAAAGAGCGCGTGGAGTCCAGATTAGGGCAGGTGAGTTTATCTCATGATGAGAAGCAGCACATCATCTCCCTCAGAGGTCTGAAGGATCAAGTACATTCAGTGGAGATGCTCATCAAGCAAGCGCAGAAGAACATCGTCACGCACCAGCTGAAGCTTTCTTCACATCTGAGTCACTTTCTGAAGTCTCTGGGTCTTGAAAAGTTTGAGCAAGACTATTTTCTCCCAAGCCACATTCCAGCTAGACTTTTAAACTGAAAGGATTTTTTTGGTATCTTAGCAGTGCAGTCTGTATTTATCACAAGAGCATGTGGTCAAATCCAGCCCTCCAAAGAGCTTCACACACAAAATAGGCAACTTCATGACTCGGAGTATCGCAGAAGGAGACCTGCACCATTTCACAGCCGACGCTTTGACCTGTCCAATGAATGCCAATCTAGCTTTCGGTAACCCTGTGGCTCAGTGCTTTCTCCAGTTCTTCGGAGACGAGATTACAGAGGTGTGTAAAACTCAGCAGAAGCAACAGCAGAGTCTTCTGCCAGGACACTCATTTACGCCGTGTTGCCTCAGAAAGGACAGAGGCTGGACTCTCACTACCTTCAGTCAGCCGTGTACAACAGCCTCCTGAAAGCCGAAGGAAAAGGATGCGCCTCGATTGCACTCCCAGCAGTCGGTTGTGAAAGCTTCGGCTTCTCTGTCAAAGACAGCTGCGTGGCGCTCCGAGCCGCTGTACTGCAGTTCTGCAGCGACCGTCAGAATTCTCCTAAAAACATCAGACGCATCAGTATAGTGGATTCAGACGAGGAGATCGTTGAGGAGTACAACGCTCTGATCCAGGAACTAGTATGATCCCTCCTATGCAAACATTTATTAACAGTGTTTAGCATGTTTTATTAACCATCACCCATTTAATTTCTTAACAGGGATTTCCTGACACATCTACAACGGTTCCCCTACAATCCTTGAAGCTAAAACACGGATCAGACGCGAGAGGTATTGTATATACCTGCTTTTGTAATTTCACTACTTCTGGTCACCATGTTTCCTAGACTTCATCTGAAGTCGCTTATGTACTTTTGTTTTCGTATGACTGGGAATTCACTCAGTGCTAATCAATGGTGTGCCAATATGCCTGAAAGAGGGTGACATCACCAAAGAGATGGTGGATGTTATAGTGAATTCAACCAACAAAAGTTTAGATCTTAACACCGGTAAGAGTTTCTTTACTGCAGCATCAATACTAAACTGACTCACATCACTATACTTTTACCTTTCATGCTAAAGCATGTCGAACGTTGAATAGCTTGAAGGTACTTCAAAGATTTGGGTTATTATTATATTTACTGTAAATTCTCCTGACACGGAGACGTTTATACCAGGTCAGAGCAAACGTTTATAGTGTTTCCCAGCTTGTTTCCAATGTACTGTTCAATTTTACAGGCGTATCTGGTGCCATCTTAAAAGCTGCTGGACAATCTGTTGTTGATGAATGCAAAAAGCAAGGCATCACTGAATCTTTCTGTCAATGGCTATATTCTAATGGGAGGGCTGAGTGATTTCATTCACATCTGCTTGTGTAGCTCCTCTGAAAGCAGGTGCAGCAGTGCTGACGGGTGCTGGAGCGCTTCTGTGTAAGTGTATCGCACAGATGGTTGGGCCAGACAGCACCGTCGACATCACATCATCTCTGGAAACGGTTCTGAACCTCTGCGAAGCCAAAACGGCCACAACTCTGGCCATTCCTGCGATTGGAACAGGCATGACAGCAAGGAGTTTCTGTCATTTAAAAATATTCTCTCAAAGCGCTGAGAGGAAATATCAAGCCCTGAGTGATAATCTTGTTCTCTGCAGGACGTGGTGGCTTTGCCCCGAAAGAATCGATCAAAGCCATCTTCACGGCAATCGAGAAAGACCTGAAGGAGCTGAACTCATCCTGCCTCAGGAGCATCACTGTAGTGGCATTTGAACAGAAGACCTTTGATGACTTTCGTGACCATTTTAAAGCATGGAATAAGGTTAATATTGATGAGATAACATAATAATGTCCAGATTTATTTTTTTTATGGTTTTAATTTTGTTACATTTGTTTTTCCTCAGCCTGCATCCGACAAGATGCCTGAAAATCAAGGTTCTGACAGCTCTACATTTCCATGCTGATCCACAAATAAATATGCTCTAGTTTTTCAAATACATCATAAACCTCTTTTCATGTCTTCGTTCTGATATTTCCAGGAGTGAATATTAAGTGTTTACATTTGAAATCTCTCTCATCTTCCATAGTCAAAATTGGAAGCGTCAGAATCGAGGTAAAGAAAGGCAACATCACTAATGAAACGGTCCGAGGGATCGTAAACACCACCAACAGGGACATGAGCCTGAGAGGAGGTCTGTAAGACTTAATATAACTCAAAACACACAAGCTGGACACTTTTATATCAACACATCAGTTACTCTAAAAAAGTAGTTGCCAAACATGTTCCTGGAGCCCCCGAAACTGCACATTTTGCATGTCTTCTCAATGAAACACAACTCATAAAAGGTCATCAGCTCATTAGTAGAGACTCCAAAGACATGCAAATGTTGGGGGCTCCAGGAACAGGGTTGGGAACCACTGCTTTAAAATAAGCCATGGATCTACACCGAAACACAACAGTGTGTGTTTGTGGCAATTTTAAAGTGTGACCAGTTCAGTGTGTCCCACCTTGACAATCTCAAAAGTATCCTTGTCCTTCAGGCGTGTCGGGTGCCATATTTAAAGCGGCTGGAGCGTCTGTGGAGCAGGAGTGCCAAAAGCACGGTGAGAACAATACACCAAATACTGAAACCTTGTTAACTATCAATTGCATGAGCAAGAGATGTTCTGGATATCAGCACGGCTACGATTTGGCCGTAGACACGAGGCTGCACTGACACTGAATGTCAAGGACTGGTAAACAAATTTCTTTCTTTAAACAAATTCCGTCCTGAAGGTCCGTTGCAGAATGACATTGCAGCCGTGACCAGCGGCAGAAACCTGCATTGCGACTTCATCATTCACATGGTCGGTCCGCACTCGGCGGCAGAGGTGAGATCCCGCGTGAAGAACGTTCTAGAGCGCTGTGAGGAGAAGCAGATCACCACGGTCTCCTTCCCTGCCGTGGGCACTGGTACGGATTTATGATGGCATTGAATGTGGCATGTGTTGGTCATCATGTGTGGTTGTGTCTCACTCCGTCTGACGGCTTTTGTTAAAGGCGGCGGGGGCGTTAAGGGTGAGGATGCCATCGGTGCGATGCTGCAGGGCTTTGAAGATCATCTGGCTCAAAACATCTCGACTGTGATCAAGCTCATCTACGTTGTGATTGACCGGGACAACGTCCTACAAGAGTTTCAGAAAGGTCTCAAAACATGGATTGCGAATACACAGGTAGAGAACCTTAACCCAGTTCTGAATAGAGTTGATCATTCAGAATTGAAGGACACTTGAAAAGATTTCTGACATATCAAATGTAAATGCTTTTGCACTTCAACATTTAATTAACATCAACGCACAACTAGGACAGTGAAGATGATGAGTGGGAGGATTACAGCTCAACAGAAGAAAGCTCCTCGTCTGACAAAGGAGCCAACGGTAATGCAGCATTTGATGACCTTTTGAAAATATGCTGTTATAGGTCTTTGAAAGTTGCTAAAATGTTTACATTTCACCAGCAAACCCAGTGGAGGTAATGATGGGCCCGATTAAAGTCAAGGTGTTTAGCGGAGACATCACCAAAGAGACTGTCGAGGCCATTGTAAACAGCACGACGACAAGCCTCGATTTCAACACGGGTGAGTTTGCTTTTGATATCGCTCTGAATCTGATGAACTGTTATTTTCCAGACATTTTCCTAACCCTAACATGACACAGAAAGAGTGGCAGCTGAATAACTAATTGGAAGTGGTGCTCAGATCTAGTGTATGTCCTTATGTGCAGGTGTATCAGGAGCCATTCTCAAAGCATCAGGACAAACGGTGGTGAACGAGTGCAAATCAAAAGGTACAACCTTCAGCTTCAGTCAATAGTCATAAATATAGGCATTTCTGATGAACTTCTAACACGACGTTGTCCAATCCTGGTCCTGGAGGGCCAATATCCTGCAGGGTTTAGCTCCAACTTGTCCCAAAATACCTGTCCAGAAGATTCTAGTAATCCTGACAACCTTTGATTACCTTGGTTCAGGTGTGTTTAGTTGGGGCTGGGGATAAATTCTGCAGGGCAGTGAGCCTCCAGGAGCAGAACTGGACTCTCCTGCTACAACAGAATAATTGCTCATCCATTCTCTCCTGATTAAAGCGCCTCAGCCCTCCGACGGCGTGATCCTGACCAAAGCTGGAAATCTTTCAAATATCAAACACATCATTCATATGGTTGGGCAGACCAATGAGAAAGGCATCAGCAGCTCCATGTACAAAGTTCTGAGGATGTGCGAAGAAAATAAGATTCAGTCGGTTTCATTCCCAGCTCTTGGAACAGGTAAGTTCGTCCGGTCAGAAATACAGATAAGCAAAGCCAAGCAAAGGTATCTGGATGATCCTAAAATGCTTAATGTCCTTCAGGAGCAGGAAACTTGGCTGCTGCAGGAGTTGCCAATGCAATGACAGAAGCTCTGACTAACTTTATGAAGGACTCACCGAAACACATGAAGCGCGTCCACCTTGTGATCTTCCAAGTGAAACTGCTGCCAGACTTTCAGGAAGCTGTCAAGAAGTGCAAGAAGATTTTTCGAAATGCTTCTGGTATGTTTCAGTGCATGAACGTACAGTGTGAAGAATGAGCTGGAACTAACCCGGTTACTTTAACTTGTGTTTCCTGAACAGTGCGTCAGGTCAAACCCCTCCAGAAATCGGTGATCCCTGTGCTGACACAGCGACCAGCTATTTGTCTAGCCAAAGAAACGGCCGCTGTATCGTTCCCGGTTATGGCCATTAACGTTTACGGGACGTCCCCTACAAACCTCGCCAAGGTCAAGAAGCTCCTGGACGAGCTGGTCAAGCAGGAGTGCTTCAGTATAGACGTCCAGTTGAGCCACATCACAGACCTTACAGAAACGGACAAGAAGGCCATCATGACCCTCAGCCGAGCCAATCAAATCAGCGTTCTGGTGGCCAGTTCGGATAAGTTAACAGTATCAGGGAAGAGAGACGACGTCTTAGATGCTGTGCTGAAGATAAACGGCTTCATCCAGGCAGTGAGAGAACAAGAGATGTGTGAAGGTGAGGTGAAGCGTCTGCGGGAGACGCTGTGCTGGGAGGTGGCGAGAGGAGAACGCTGGGAGTCACTGGAGCCCGGCATCAGCTACGACATCGAGCTCACCATCCACCGCAAAGAGAAGACCTTCCAGTACCAGGAGAACGGCGAGACCTACACGGTGGACTTCAACCAGATGGAGGTCACAAACAGCAAGCGGGAGTCTTGCAGGATCAAGAGGACTCTGCTGGGAGATTCTGATACAGGTAGGAGTTGGCATGGACCACAGTCTACAACAAATCCAAAGGTTTTTCATGAGAATCAGAAGCATCAGTGTGGAGAATCTTGTGATCAGGATTTTTGTTCTTCCAAAAGTAGCAAGTACAATTTATTTCCCAAATATAGCTAAGATAAAACAAATGTAATGTTCAGACTTGTGCTATTGAAACAAAAATCTCCACATCTTTCTAAGATTTGATGTAACGTTCAATTCAAATAAACATAGATTGTTTACACTAACCTTGTAAACTTTGGAAAATCCAGTGCAGGGATCCCCAACCCTGCTCCGGGAGAGCTACCGTCCTGCAGACTTCAGTTCCACCCCTGCTCCAACACACCTGCCTGTAATTATCAAGTAAACCTGAACACCTTGATTAGCTGGTGCAGGTGTGTTTGATTGGGTTTGGAGCTGAACTTCAGGAGCAGGGTTGGAGAGCCCTGATCCAGTGACTAGTTCTGCCTCAGAACCACTTGCACGTGCTTTCTAGCTGTATGTTATAAGGCAAGGCAAGACAAGTTTATTTATATAGCACATTTCATACACAATGGTAAATCAAAGTGCTTTACATAAAAGGAAATAAATAATCATAAAAAATAATCACAATAAAAGTCTAGGAATTTAAATTTTAAACTGATTTAAAAATGTATTTAAAATGAATTAAAACAGTTAAGAATAGAAAATGATACATAAAATACAGTGCAATCAGTTGGGACGTAGCACAGTGCTCATTCAGTAAATGCACAGCTAAACAGATGTGTTTTCAGTCTAGATTTAAAGATGGCTACTGATTTAGCACATCTGATCTCTTCTGGAAGCTGGTTCCAACTGTGGGTGGCATAATAGCTATAAGCGGACTCTCCTTGTTCTAAATGAACCCTTGGTATTTTTGACTTGATCCTAATGATCTGAGTGGTCTGTTAAGTTATTATTCAGTGAGCATATCTGCAATGTATTGAGGTCCTAGGCCAGGGGTGCCCAAACTTGGTCCTGGAGGGCCGGTGTCCTGCAGAGTTAGCTCTAACTTGCCTCAACACACCTGCTGGTAAGTTTCTAGTATGCCTATAAGAGCTTGATTAGCTGGTTCAGGTGTGTTTAATTGGGGTTGTAGCTAAACTCTGCAGGACACCGGCCCTCCAGGACCGAGTTTGGGCACCTCTGTCCTAGGCCATTGAGTGATTTACAGTGGTGGCCAAAATTATTAGAACACCTGACAGGTCTGAAAATATTGACCTTTTTTGCCTCCAAAACATGATGTCATTTCATAATGTTCATGAAACATGCAGATGGTTGCTGAGCACAACAAATATCAGATGAAGTGAGTTGTACTGTTTTTATCCACTTTTAACTTTAATATTTGGTATGTCCACCTTTTGCAGCAATTACAGTAGCACATCTCTCTGGCATAGTGTCAATATATTTCCTGAGAACTTTAACACTAATGTTATCCCATGCCTTCTGCAACTCAAGCCAAAGGCTTTCCTTTGAATCTACAATAGATCTGTCCAGTTTATTTTCTAACTCTCCCCAATTTTGCTTGATGGGGTTGAGGTCAGGACTTTAAGGGGGCCAGTTCATCATTTTCAGTGTTCCAGCAGATTCCTACCATCGCAGGTAGTTCCGGCAATAGTTTGTTTTATGGGTATTGTATTGTAATGGCCAATTCAACAAAAACAACTGAAACCTCTTAAATATACAGAGTGTTCTAATAATTTTGGCCACCACTGTATAAACTAGTAATAATACTTTAAAATCAATCCTAAATATAACTGGAAGCCAGTGTAAGGACCTGAGGACTGGTGTGATATGCTCAGATTTTCTGGTTCTAGTCAGAATCCTGGCAGCAGCGTTCTGGATGAGCTGCAGCTGTCTAATGGTCTTCTTGTGAAGGCCAGTGAGGAGACCATTACAATAGTCCACCCTGCTGGTGATAAAGGCATGAACAAGTTTCTCCAAGTCTTGACTGGAAACAAAACATCTAATTCTTGCAATGTTTTTGAGATGATAGTATGCTGATTTAGTTACTGCTTTGACATGACTACTGAAACGAAGGTCTGTCTCCAGAATCACACCAAGATTCCTGACTTAATTTTTAGTTGTTAGACCCCTCGGAGTCAGCTCGGAGTCAAGGTATGCATTCACCTTGCCTATAAAAGGAAGATTTGATATTGGTCTGTAGTTGCTCAATATGGTGTTATCAAGATTGCTCTTTTTCAGAAGGGGCTTAACAACTGCAGTTTTCAGGGAGTTTGGAAAAGTTCTTCACTTTTAAGAGATCTGCTTCTAAACAGTTAAGCACACTTTTGAAAAAATATGTGGGAAGTGTGTCAAGATAGCAGGTTGACGATTTAAGCTGCTGTACTATTTCTTCCAAAATTTTGCTGTCAATTTCTTCTGATTGATGCTGGAGAGAGGGATAATGTCTCTGGTGTTTCCGGTGGCTGTGATATGTTGTCCTGGCTTCCCTGGCTGTTTTCCAGAAAGTCGTCCTTGGGTGCTGAGTCTTGGAGCTGTTCTGATACGTCACAGTCTGTCTGTGATGAGCTCTGTGGGCAGGGCTCAGCCGGGATAGTTTCATTGAGCAGTGCTTGTTGTGGCTGCGTGGTGTTATCAGTGTCCTTGTTGGATGTGTCAACCACATGATGACTCGGAAGCTGATATGAAGTCCTGTGGTCACTCATACTCTGTCCAGGTGTGTGTGTGCCATTCAGGTTGAGTAGTTTGGCACACACTACTGATGGATGACGGAGGGAGAAGTAGATGTTGTCCTTTAGCACTCTTGCACCAAGTTTGTTTTGGTGGAGGCCATCCAGTTTAAACAGTTGTCTATGGCCCCAGAAAAAATTGAAATTGTCGATGAAGTTGACTACTTTTATACTGCAAGATCGTTGTAGCCATGTGTTCAGCCCAAGCAACCGTGACAACATATTAATTCCTCTTGCTGGGAGTGGTCCACTGATGAACGACTGAACTTTAAGTCGTCAAAGTGTTTCAAAGAGTTCACTGAAGTCCTTAAGGAGTTCTGACTGCTCTTTCCGAATATCATTCTTCCCCACATGGATGATGATTTGATTTGCAGTCTTGTGCTCGACCTTGAGCGCCTGTTAGTAGCGGTGCTAGCTGCTGGCCGATAAGATCCATGTTCAATCACACTTGGGCATTCCTCACCCACATTCATTAATGCTTCAAATCTGTTCTCAAGGCATATAGGGGGTGGTAGAAAAAGCACCTCACTGACCATCTGATGTCGTAAGCATCAGACAGACAGTAAGGTGTCTGAAGATATATGATGACAGAAACTGTTCTTTCTGTAACTTTGCTTGTTTGTTTCTCAGCAATCATTCATCCCCCTCCAACATGGACCAAAATGGATGGACGGGATTTAGAAATAATCACATTACAATCAGATACGGTGGAATACAAGAACATAGAAACAGCCTTTCTGAAATCCAGCATACACCGTGATGAGAAGCCCGTCCAGGTTCAACAGGTAAAATAACTTAGACATGACCAGACATTAGACGTTAAAACACAAGCGTCAGTACTTAAAGTCAAGGGCAATCACAACTCATTCTACATCCCTAATGTGACTTAATTCAGAATATGGAAATTAAGCATTCTTGTTGCTCAAAGTACAGCAAAAACATGGGTTAAATTATCAGGGAATGCACAAATTGATTAAAAACAATGTATAGATTCAATGCAATGTTTGGATAAATGCATAAAAAGCAGAATATTCAATGAGAAAAACAGGAACTTTTTTTTTCTCCCATGATGCATTAATTGGATGGTTATAAATAAGAGGGACTGATGATGTCAGCTAAAGAAGGTGGTCAAGCAAGAGTTTTAACAATTGGAATAACATGCACTAATGAGAGTTAAGAAATTAAGAGATGATTCTGATTTCATGTCGACTTTACGCTGTTCCGTGTTGACTTTAGGCTTGTGTTTAACAACGTCTGAAATGATTCCAGATCGACAGGATTCAGAGTCAGTCGCAGTGGCAGAGATACTGTGTGCTGAAACAGGCCGTGGATAAGAAATACCCCAAACTGAGAAACGAGCGCCAGCTTTATCACAGAACGACCAAAGAGATATGCCAGAAAATCAACAAGAACGGCTTCAACCGCAGCTTCTGTGGGAGAAACGGTACGTCACATTTGACCCGTAACTGCCTGTTTCTTGCAGCTTCACGATACTGACCCGTCACATGCGCTCTGTTCTGAAGCGGCCTATCACGGCGAAGGCACCTACTTCGCTAAAGAGGCCTGGTACTCCTGCCAGGACAAGTATTCCAACCCAGACGACAAAAGCCTGAAGTACATCTACCGAGCGCGAGTGGTGACGGGCTCGCTGTGTAAAAGCAGACAAGCAATGAAGGAGCCGGATCCGATCAACCCTGCAGACCCACGGGCCGGACTGCACGACTGCGCCGTGGACAGCCTCCAGAACCCGTTCATCTTCGTGGTGTTCTGTGACGCGGGAGCGTATCCAGAGTACCTCATCACCTTCAAATCCATATAGTCCTCCAGCAAACTCTACAAACACACACTGGCCCTGAATGCTGCTGACAGAGATTATGGGAGAGTCTTCAGGATATTACCGTGACAAACACATGAACGAATGTTTTCACGCATGACTTTCTTCAGTAGGGCTGTCAGCTGCCAAAAATCACTTTATTAATTACATGATACTATATTTGCTGAGAAAAGATAAAAAATAAATAAATAAAAGATATTTAAAGGGACAGTTCACCCAAAAATGAAAATGGTCATCAGTATAGTTTTTGCCCATACTATGGAAGTCAATGGAGACCAGCAACTGTTTGGTCACCAGCATTCTTCAAAATATCTTCTTCTGTGTTCAATAGAAGAAAGAAACTCACACAGGTTTGGAACAGAATGTTCATATTCGTGTGAACGGTCTCAGTGTGACACGAGTAAACCACTGAACAGACAACAGTGGTCTTTAGAAGTGAATATAGTCTTATAATCAACCATCACTGACCTCTGTTATGCTTTCATCGCCCGCTGCCACATGCTCTCGTGCTTTGTTTTTAAAAAGTGTTTCCCATTACTAAAAGAGGAGCATTATGAGTATCATTTTTACTGCATTACTTTTGTTCATTAATCAGTTGACAGCCCTACCGGAGAATGAGCTGCACTTCATTCTGAGCGTATGAAACTTTGATACACAAATGTTTGCTTCTATCTGAACATTTATAATGCTAATAAACACATTTGTAATCTGCCTGGACTGACCTTCTGATCTCCGTGAGGTGAGCATCGTCCTGAAGCAGAACTCATAACTCTTTAAGAAACCGCACAAATGATACAGTAAAAGAATGAGAACCCAAAATACTTCTACCTTTAATATGAATCACAAAACATGATCACACGGAGTACAACAGATAATAGTAACCAGATTAATTTTTGCAAACGATTGTCACGATTAATAAATTTGTACGCATTAATGAAAACACAGACAGTTCTAGAAGATTAAACAGAAGCACAAAATCAAAAGAGAAGAATGACTGCAGTCGAAGCGTTTCATTGAAAAACATCTTTTATTCTATCGTTAAAGGATCAAGTAGCATCTGTGCTCAAACTAGTAGAAAGACATTCTGTTGCCGAGGCGGTTTATGACGCTGTGGGGTTAAACCACCATATAAAACGCCACAAACCCTCGGATATTCACAACAGACCGCATTCACAGCGGCGGTCACTGTATTAAATCAATGCTGGCGATGACAGATGCATCAAAGCCTGGAACCTGTGTTTCTCCAGCCTGCAGTCGTCCTGGCTGAAGTGCCTGTTAAAGCGAGTTAGCTAACCTGATCTGATTTACCCATGCGGTGGAGCCGGAGGGAAGGCGAGGAAATCAGCCCTAAATGATCAACCCACCGTTAAGACTGACACACACTCAAAGCACAGAGGCTGGCCGCGCTACATCTGCTGCGTGGAGTTCCCGTTCCACGTGTTGTTGTCGTCCTCGTTGTCTTCTTGAGTCCGTAGCCGGTATATTTTCCCATCTTTCTTGAAGTCCTCAGGCCTCTTCTCAAGAACCCTCTTACGAACCGCATCTCTGGAGCGGAAAACAGCAGAAATTATTCTGTATCTCAATGACACAAAATAGTCAGTGTCTAGAAAAATCAAGTTTGTGAGTTCACAGTGAGTCACAATGTGATTACAGTGGGTTAAAGGGGTCATGAACTTAGAAACCAAAATTCCCTTGATCTTTTGACATATACAGTTAGGTCCACATATATTTGGACACTCGCACAATGTTTATAATTTCAGGTCTGTATGCCACCAGAATAGAATTAAAATTAAAGATGTGATTGAAGTGCAGACTTTAAGCTTTAATTCAAGGGCTTGAACACAAATATAACATCAAATGCTTAGGATTTACAACCATTTTTATACACAGTCCCCCCATTTTCAGAGGCTCAAATGTAATTGGACAAATAAATGTAATCATAAATAAAATGTTCATTTTTGATATTTTGTTGCGAATCCTTTGCAGGCAATGACTGCCTTACGTCTGGAGCTCATGGACATCAGCAGAGACTGGGTTTCTTCTTTGTGAAGCTTTGCCAGGCCTTTACTGCAGCTGTTGTGTGTTTGTGGCTCTTTCTGTCTTTAGTGTTGTCTTCAGTGAGTGAAACGCATGCTGAGATCAGGAGATTGACTCGGCCATCGCAGAATATTCCACTTTTTTACCTTCAGAAACTCCTGGGTTGCTTTTGCTGTATGTTTTGTGTCATTGTTCATGTGTACTATGAAGCGCCGCTCAATCAGCTTTGCTGCGTTTGACTGAATCTGGGCAGAGAGTATATCTCTACACACTTCAGAGTTCATCCGGCTGCTTCTGTCTCATCATCACTAAACAGCAGTAACCCAGAGCCACTGAAGCCATGCACGCTCATGCATCACACTGCTCCGTGCTTCACAGACGATGTGTGCTTTGATCAGGAGCTGCTCCAAGCCTTCTCCAGACTCTTTCTTTCCATCGTTCTGGTACAGCTTGATCTTTATTTCTGCCGTCCAAAGAATGCTTTTCCAGAAGTGCTCTGGCTTTTTTAGATGTTTTTTGGCGAAGTCTAATCTGGCCTTGTTTGCAGCTTGTGGTGAAGCCTTTGTGTTTGCTCACAGGGTGCACTTTAAGCCCATATTCATATGATATAACTGTAACTTGAATATGTTTTGGTCAGCAGCTAAAATAATAAAAATTGGGCCGTGTCCAAATATATATGGACCTGACTGTAAGAGGTCATTGCACTATAAAAACATCCTGTAACTTTCCGAACTTAAAACTTTCTTGTTAGTATAAGGTATAAAGGTGACTCGACTAGTCTGAAAGCAGCTTATGTTGAAGCCGATCTGCCAAAACCACAGCTCGTGGAATGTTTTCGACTCTATGATGTAATAGTGTGGATAAGCACTGCCTCCACAGAAGATCGATATCACTAGGCTTGTTTGAGATGAGCAAAATCTGCACAGAACCGATCACCGGTGATCACCGCGAGATGCATGCCGGTTAGAAAAGTGTCCGAGTTACGTCCGACTTGCTCTGATGTCATGCTGACGTGTGCCAAAAAACTCTGGCAACGGCGAGGTGACTGTCGGATTGCTCTCCACCGACTGTGCTCACCAAAAGCATGATGGGAAACGACTGACTGAAGACACAGCTTTATGCTCATTAGTCCAGACAACCGTGATGCTGCGTTCTCTTCTAAAATGTTTTAATTTTTATCTGGTTCCATGCGATTATGTATTTAAATTATGCATGAATGTTCCCAAACACTGTGACAGTGCAATCTCTGTGTGAGTTATGCGATTGTTGTCATATTTCTATAAAACTCTAAAATACATGTTTGTATTAAAGTAAAAATGGATGATAAATACACCTTTCGTATGGAATTAAATAGCAAGCACTTTCGCCCACCAATTCCACATCGCTGCCTGTTTAGCCCCGCCCACCAATTCCACATCGCTGCCTATTTAGACACGTGATTGTTGTCATGCGGTGAATCTGGCCAATCGTGAAACAGCTGTGTCGTCATCAGCGCTCCTGCAGCCGCTCTGGAGAAACTGCGGTGGCTGAGTCGAAACGCTCTCGCGTTACTTTGATGCCACACGTGACTCATGTGGCGTCGGCGCAGTCTCAAGTCGGACAAAATTTATAACCGGCATGCACTGCTCCAAGTCAGAATTTGATCGATCTGCGCAGCGCTGCGTTAAGTCAAACGCACCTACTGTCTGTTTAGCCCCGCCCACCGATTCTACATAACTGTCTGTTTAGCCCCGATTCTACGCTGATCGCCTTCCTTCTGATCCCAGCGTTAAGAAAGAGTGAATTAACTTTATTTTTAATTAAGTTCCAGACCCCATCAGTAAGAACTCAGTCCTTTGTTCACTTCATTTTACCGCGGATTCGTTTACAAACAAGGCACAGTTCGACGTGGGATTTTCAGAAACACTGAAACTAAAAGACGGACTCTTAGCCAATCACAGCAGTGGGCGTTTACTTCCGAGTCTACAATCCTCCACGCCTATTCAAACAGAGCGTTCTGATGAGGGGGTTAAAAACAGCACAGAAAATAGCCCATTACGTCTAAATGATGTTTTTTGATGTAAAAATCTTGATAACATTATAAGTGGAGCTCAGAGAACAGTACAAAATAAACAGAGGCAGTTCATGACCCCTTTAATGTGAGATAACTGGAGTCACAGAGAGGTCACAGACACACAGACGCACCTCTTTGGTTCTGCGGCGGCGCCGGAGCCGGAGCCAAATGCGTTCTGGGCGGCGGGTGGAGCAGGAGCAGGAGGAGCGCTGCTGAACAGGAATCCGCTGATGAACCTCCAGACGGACAGCAAGAGAGGTCACAGACACACAGACGCACCTCTTTGGTTCTGCGGCGGCGCCGGAGCCGGAGCCAAATGCGTTCTGGGCGGCGGGTGGAGCAGGAGCAGGAGCAGGAGGAGCGCTGCTGAACAGGAATCCGCTGATGAACCTCCAGACGGACAGCAGCGGGTACAGCAGTGACCCCAGCGCCGCCCAGACGCCTCCAGACGCAGACGAGCGCACCACAGCACTGCTGGACTGCTGCAGGGACCAATCACACCACAGCATTCACGCGTCATGTGACTACATCACCACAACCCTACACAGCTTATCATCACAAGCTTTCTGAAATGTTATGCATTTTAAATTAAACATGCAAATGAGGCATTGTCTAATATTCATTAATTTGCATACATTGAGAACATAAAACTGAACTTTGGATGAAGCCAGGATCAAAATTCTTGTGTGATTTTGTTGTCATATTCGAGTTAAAGATTTTTACAGAGAGGATTTTGAGTTTCTTTTTTTATCACTAGGGCTGCATGATTAATAGAATGCGATTGTCGTGCGTATCTTTTGAGTCGTTTGAGTAGTTTATAACGTGCATTTGGAAAAGCAACATGGGTCAAACATCTTTCCAAACATGAGAAGCATTTATGAACCTCTTGTCCCACAAAATACCACATTTTATAACATGTTTTTATTCCAAACTCACTTAGCATTGCATTATAAATGTACTTTATTATAATGGAAATTATAATAAAAAGAACTCCGATAAATCATATATTGTCGTAGTCCTGTGTTTATTAGTCACGTTGAATCAATGAAAGCAGTTCAATCTTCTGTTTATTCAGCTAGCGCTGTAGGGATTGCCTGGGTTTCTTCTGCGGCGTGTATTTGGAGTTTCTCTGGCCTTCAGATAGAGATTTACTGCTGATCACAGAACCCTGCTTCACTGACAAGATGCGCATGACTTATCAGCTTTTGACTAATATCGATTGCGATTTCATTTCGATTAATCGTGCAGCCCTATTCATCACTGCATAAATCAGTGGTGTCTGACGAAAAAAAAAAAAAATTTTAGAGAAAACATGACTTGTTATTGTTTGAGTGCATGTCTATGTGAGCATGTATATGAGTGTGAGAGTGTGTGAGTGAGTGTGTGAGAGTGTGTGTGAGAGAGTGTGAGTGTGTGTGGGGGTGAGTGTGTG